GGGTGCAATTGGCTGCAAGTTCAACATGCAAATGTTGTATCATGTGTGTGCTTGGTGGTGTGTTTGTGTCAATACAATCATGTTGGTGCCTTGCATTACTAAATCATGCTCGTGTCTGCCTTTGCTTGGCACCGCCCAGGTGAGATCAATGATCTCTACAAGAAGATCTGCGAAATGGAGCTTCAGAATACGAGACTTGATAACATCTTAAGCCTCTTGCTCAAGCCCTGTGACTGCAACACACCTCGATGACTAAGGGATCCCAACACCTTCACTGCTGTGACAAAGCAAGTTCGTGATTCGCTATGTGCTCAGTTCGGTGCATGCAAGACATGTTCAGCTGAATACATACATGATACCCAAGTGCTTCTGACTGCAATCACAACATGCTAAGGATTGCCACGTTTGGCAATCAGGTTGCCTCTTTGAAGAAGCTGGCCAACATCAGATGTTCATGTATGGCATGTTACAGTATAACAACATGTGTTGTATTTGATCTTGACACCACTTGAACTCTTATTTGCAGCCAAGGAGCCACTACGCTCCGAAGCCGAAGAAGGCGGCAAAACCTCCTGTGGCCAAGGAGGAGGATGCGTGATCGATGGGGTCACACTGAGCCGTGGCATGGAACTTGTTCGTTACTTCATGCATACTCACTGTAGCACTACATGTTCTGCAGCACTCAAGCAACCTTGTGCATCATGGGCCATGCCATGTTTTGCTCCTCTTTTCACCTCTGTGCTAGCCTGCCGACATGGACTGTGGACAACCTGGGATATATCATTCATGCTGCATTCTCGCACAATATAGCTGCAATCTGGTGCAGGAATCAGTCCAGGCAGCAATGGCACAGTTGGAATAGGGACATGCAGTTGCTCTGGTCTGGGAATCTTTCAATTGTGGTTATGTAACATAGTTATGTAGCATATAGGGGGGGCTGTACCTATCGCACATATATTAATCAATAGTTATACTGAGCAGCTGGCATGCACACTCTGGGGAAACCTGCGGCCCGACTTTCCTAGTGGCTGATCGAGAAAAGACGTGCTGCCGCCGGCTGCCCTATAGTGTTTGATTTCTTGAGTGTGCATTTGCTGTTACCTTTCCCCCCCCGCCTCACGCAGGTGATGCTGCCGTGACCAACGTGCTCTTGACCTACGTAGTCCCATGGCTTGACATGCAGGACAACACAACAATTACAATCATCACCAATAACAACAACATCGACATCATCGACAACAAACATCAACAACATCACTATAGCACCAGCAACAACAACCACCACCACAACCCCAACCACAACTACAACCACAGCAACAGCATCCACAATAACAGTGACAACGATACGAGAACGACAACATCAGGACTAGCAATAGCAACAGCAGCAACGACAATAGCAACAATAACAATACTAGCAGCAACAACAACAACAACGACAACCACAAACACCGCAAACGGCCACGTCCACATCTACACCCACACCCACATCTACAGCTACAACCACAATCACAACAATGACGACGATAGTGATATCGACAAGATCAGCGAACACGGCAGACGGCAACAACAATATTAACGGCAACAACATCTTCACCACCAGCAGCCAAACAAGAAGACATGTTTAAGTATCTTCGACACAAGCAAAGCCAGACAATTGCTGCTGTTGCACTTCAATCATGCATACAAGAGATCAAGCAAGCTTGTTGTTTGCTATGCATGGGCTGTGCTTGTGCTTCGCTTGTTGCATTATATCGACATGTTAAGGATGGGACAGCCAGCAGTGCCTCTTCTCATGCACGCACCACAGCAGAAACAATGTTGCCTGGGCATCATGGACAGGATATTCTGGTTAAGCTTGCTGAATCCAAGACAAGCAAGAACAAGGCC